CACGTCAATTGCTATTGTTAGTCCAGTCAGTACGTTAACTAACACCGTCAAACAATTGGACGGAAGTGGCTATTTTTGTTATTTCGCCAAACATGACTATATTTGGCAAAACCGTCAAAGTTTTGACTACACAAATGTATTTGCCCTATTTATTTTGATATCGTTAGATTCTGTACATATTTAGTCATTGAATTGTCCATTAAAGTTATGTACAAAAATACCAAAGTGTGAATCTGTCCACTAAATGACACTGTTTGTGGAATTGTATTGAACTTGCAAGCAGATTGAAAACCTAAATAAGTATGTGATTTTAGTAGTATGAAACAATTGAACTCTGGTTAAATTATAGTTTTAAGCACAAAATATCTTACAACTAAAATTTTCAGTATAATTTCTTGTAGTCTTTGGTAAAAGTATTCAAGAATAGGGGCCATATATAGTATGATGATGATAGCCACAAAAGCAACGAAAAAACCGCGAAACGGATGAGCTGACCATCCTAGCCAAAACTGAAACACCACTATTTTTATTTTGTCTCTCATAAGAAGGAAACAGATTTGTTTCCATTTTAAATGCAAAATCAATTGCATTGATGTGACCTGTTATAAACTATTTGCAATTTCACAATACATTCAATTGCATACGAAAGTCAAAGTGGTAAATTGCAAGTGAATTACATTAATATAGGTGCAATAAAATTAAAGGTAATGTCTATTTGTTATCCAAAATTTTTTCAGATTTTTTTATATTATCCAAACCTATTAAAATGCTATTAATTAGAAAAATCTTTTATACTGCATCAAAATATTAGCCATTTTTACGTTATCATTAATAATTTTGTAACTATTTTCTTAGTTAAAATACTAAAATTTTGGAATGCTGACATTCATGTGTCTCTTCCGAGTCTGCATTATGTTGCCAAGTCAATATTACTAACAAAATTGCTAAAGTTAACATTTGGCTAATTCTTAGTATTTCGATAGATTTGCCTAATAAAAAAAATGCGAAAAAACATTTGACTAATAAATAATAATTATCCTAAATTAATATGAGTTGGATTGTATAAATTGTTTGGGTATTTATAGAGACAACATATGTAATTTGTTACAGCCGAGCAACTTCCTGCTTCTCCTTTCAATTGAGTGACTTGTTCACTCTTCTCCTGTGAACTCACTACTAGGGTTCAAACTATTCATGAACAACTTACGCTAATTGGATTAATGTGTATGCTCTAACAAACAAACACATGACATTCTTCTTTGAAGACTGAAATAAAAATTATTGTATAACAAATAAAACACGTCTCGTCATTAAAAAGAAAAGGAAAAAAGCAAGCAGAATGCATCATTGATCCGTCCTTTTGCATATACATCTTGTAACGATGTTGTGTTGAACTTATATGTGCAGCATCTTCCTTTGCTTTCACTCCCCACCGCTTCCCACCTTTACTATGGTTGGCTAGCTAAAATTAGCAAGTTTCAATTTGTTCCGAATAATATGTTTGAAACTATTTCTTTTTTATTTTATAAAGATAGCATAGTTTGATTGTACAATGGTATAATTGTTTTTGGAAGTGTAAATAAATACTAACCAAGCAATATATTACAGGTTGGTAGGAAAATTAATTTTGTTTCCGTGTTAACTCAATCTGAAAATACATCAAACAAACAAGCCATTCTTATCGATCGATCTCTCAGTTCAGTTTTCTCCGATCCCTTATTGTTTTTGGTACGCACTAATACTATTGATGGCGTACCTGCCAGGAAATCAAATGCACCATGTGCTTAATCCTTTCTACCAATAACATTACCATAACAAATCAGGGACCGAAAAGAAAATGGTGGTGATTAAACACTATGTTTTCGAAGGAAGGGAGGAAAAAGAGGAGAGGTGAAGGAAAATTAGGAGGGAAGGGAAGATTTGGAGGTGAAGGAAATTGGAAGAAAAATGTTGTTTTATGAAAGAAAGTGCAATACTAATACTTGTTTCTTTCTTACCAAGTTCAAAACCCTGGTTGCTAGTGTCAAAGTGCAGTACTAGTACCAGAAGCATTGATCGACATAACTGATAACACGATACCATCCAAACAGTAAAAAGTTGAATGATAATTGTTGTCGTGTAGTGACCAAAAGCAGAGGGACTACATTGCTAGCTATTGGAAATGTATATATGAATAGCTTTGAAAGCTATAGAGTCTCAAGTGGAAAACCTACCACATTGGTAGTTTTACTTGGTGAAATATGTATAAAGATATGAGCCTCTCTCCTAAGGGCATGCCCCTTGGGGTGACCCACTTTTGTGGGGAGGGAGGACCTAATGGACCACCACACAGGCGCGCGCGCCGTCCGTCCGTCCTTCCGTCCAACCGGCCAGTCGGTCGGTTGGTTCACTTGAGACTATATATATATTTTTTGGAGAAATTCCGAACGAAATTAATTACCTAATAATTAATTATTAATATGTTATTCTAATGAATATTCTAAGGATAATCGATTAAAAATGAATATTCGAAGGATAATCCCGCAGGATTTATCTTAATCGACGGTTTTAATTACGGAAATAATTATCTTCCTTAATTAATTCGATTTATTCCCCAAGCAAGAGGGTATATTCCTAGGGGTTCGGCTCCTATAAATAGCCGCCTCCCCAGCCCCTCTAAACACATCACAACGAGCATAAACACAATAGAGAGAGTGTTCAGGGAGCTCCGGTTTTCGCACAAAACCGCGAGTATTGAGAGGAGCTGTTTTATCCTGGAGACGACCGGTTGATAGTCTGCCGTGCGCATCGAAGGCAGTGCTGTGAAAAGAGAGCGACCTAGTCCGCGACTCAGCTCCAGATCGGTAACCCTATTTTCCTGTTTGATTTCTAACAATTTTAAGACGTTCGATTGTTGTTGTCATGTTAACCGTACAGGATTCCGATTATGGGCTGAAGTAAACCCTCGTAATTGCATTCGATTGTGGGCTGTCAAGTCGTGCCACCCTCATCGCATTTTAATTTTCCCAACTATCGCTCGGTTCGCGATGCCAGTGATGGGATTCATGAATGTCACGGTATATATTGTCAAAAGGGGAGATTTTGTTTGCTCGGTTTTTTTTTCTCTACAGGTATCGAGTATTACCGCTGCATCTGCGATGCGGCTTCTCCCGGAGATGATGGAGCCAAGAAGGATAATGAAAGTTGCGGGGAGATTGACCTCTCTTAATTAGTGAATTTGTACCTTTTATTTCTTTTCTTGCTAATCCGCCTGGTGGTGTTTGGGGAAAAAGGATATGTATTGTGTTTCGGCTTCTTTTGCTATAGGGGAATGGTGGCAGAAGGTGAAGAGGTGGTATTGGGAAGGAGACAAAGAGTTGTACGCTGGGTGGGAAGGCAGAATTGGATGGAAAGTTTTCGTGGAGACAGACAGGGCAATTTAATCCTTCCACCTCACCCGACCCAGCTTTTGACTGGGCTTTGAATTACTTGAAGTTCAGGCCCAAATATAACTAATTTGGACGGTGCAAGTGGAAAACCGAAGGCATTGACCTCAAGTGAATTTCGTCCATAACAAGCTGGTTCCTTTTATTGTGCCCTTCGATTCGTTTCTGGGCCAGGTAAATAAAAGAATGGCCGGTCTAATTAAACCACCCCAGGAGGATTGATCTTCTCAATTTGGACCTTGCCTCAGTAGGAGGAAAGACCTCGCCCGGCCAAGGGTTAGCGATTTCTTTCCCTGGTTTCTCCTTTTATTTTATTGATGATTATGTGTAAAATCCAATATAAATTGACCTTCTTTCTATTTTGGGAGAGAAAACGAGGCCGAGGGTAAGGATGGAGGAGATCTGCCCAGTGATACAGAGTTAGCAGCAGGAGCTTCTGAGTGGCTCAAGTTGGGCACCATCCCTGGAGTCACGGATAAAGCTGGAATGGAACGGTTTAGACTTCAAACGAGAGGGAAGAACTTGGGCTTAGTAGCTTAAAGAGCCAAGACAATGGCTTATCGGAAAAGAGGTAAGTACTGAAAACTTTTTCATAAGTTATTAATGAATGGAAAACTATAATTTATTCCATATATGCATGCAATTGAGAGAATGCTAGAAAAACGAGAATTGATGCATGATTATGTTGACATGTGGTTTCTCTGTGATTAGAGTACACTTTTGTGTACATGCTATGAAAGTAGAGTAATTTTGAACAGAGAGTTAAGCCACATAAAAGTACCTGTTTCAATCTACAACCTAATGGAATTGGCTGAATATTTGGAGTTCATTTGATCCATGTTCAAGACATCCTAAAGTTGCTAGTTAGAACTATTTGTTTGGCAGAATCCTTGTTGTGTTCGGAATAGGAGTAGAATTAGTTTCCTTGTTAAATTAGGTTTATTTCAAATTTTTTTAGGTTTTTTTTTTAGTTTGTTTATGCCTATAAAAGGCTTGTTCGTGTAAGGTACAAGGTAGAATGAATAAGAGTGATTTTTCTCCTAATTCTCAAGCTTTGAGTTTGTGAGTTGATTGGGTTTTGGAAGAGTTCCAAAACTTGCTGAACCTTGCTTCTCAATCGAGCAATCCCACTCGATTGAATCGAAAGCTTCACTATAACAAATGCATTCTCCCTGGTGTGAGTTTACCCTTTTTTAACCATCAAATCTGAATTCCAAACTAGTTCATCCGAGCTTGTTTTGAATTCTGTTTGTTCTTGATCAATCTCTTGATTGATTAAGTCTGGTTTCACAATTTTGATCCCATTGAGAACCATCTAGGGGTCATCACTAACCCTAATGTTGAGAGGTTTAGGAGTGAAGATGAAGAGCGAGGAGAAAGGAGGATTGTGCAGCGGCCCTTGTAGGAGCTCGTTAGACACCATCAGCCTTTGGGAGTCCCACAAGCAAGACGAGGACAATCTCGAGTGAATGAGGAAGAGGTCGAGTATGATGAGGATGGTACTTACCAATGGGACGAAGAGGATGAATCGAAGAAAATAAGGGTCACCATTCATTTGTTTAGAGGCACTACCAATCCCGAGGCCTATCTTGATTGGGAACAAAAGATGGAGATGATCTTAACTACAATAACTACTCCGATAGAAAGAAGGTTCAAGCGGCAACACTTGAGTTCTCAAATTATGCTGTCATATGGTGGGATCAAATCTGTACGAGAAGGAGGAATAATAGGCAGCCTCCTGTTGAGATATGGGCAGAGATGAGGAGCATTATGCGAGATTGATTTGTCCCTAGCTATCATCATTGGGAGATGCATCAAGCCCTACAACTTCTGTGACTTGGTACCAAGAGCATAGAAGATTATTATAAAGAGATGGGGATGCTGATGATTAGAGCGAATCTAGAGGAGGATCGTGAAGCCACTATTGCACGATTCCTACATGTAGAATTTGATGATGCGGAAGGAACTGAACACAAAACACAAGATTTTACGTGGTATCCTCGATCGATTGATTGATCGAGACTAATCCACGGTGAGCTCGGAACGAGCTCACGACTGATATTTTATTAGGGACTACATTGTGATGGCTTGCTATCACACCAGTCGATAGCTAAGCTTATATAAATAAACTTAGGGTTAAAACCCAATGCCACGACTAGGACAACGCCCAACAAGGCCCACGAATCACACAGTTTAATTAACCGCAACACTCCCCCTGAAGCGAAGACATGAATGACTAGAATGTCGAGCTTGAAGAAGGAAATATGAAGAACAAGCATGATGTCTTGAACTTGAACACACTAGGTACATCGCGTTCGGCCTGATGACTAAGTTAGTCGACCGACGTATGTTGACCTCTTATTCTCCCCCTCAAGCTGGAGCATGAACATCGTGAATGCCCAGCTTGAAAAGCGATGAATGGTTGATATGGCCCATATGTTCATGCTCCATCTTGAAAAGTGACGAATGGTTGATATGGCCCAATAATGAACCGGAAGAGGAGATGATCATTTATTGGATTGTGAATGCCAACTGGACGATGAAGTGACGATGACTTCTCTGATCGTACTACCTCTTGAACGCCAGGGAGACGAACATTTTATGGAACGTGAATACCTCTTTACCTGGATGGTTGAAAACCGATAAAAGTGAACAAGTAGTGGCTGGGAGTGCTTGATCTTGGTACTAAAACTCACTTTCCACTGCCCAACGATGGACCACCATACTAAAACTGTCCATGTGCAAAACCCAGGCCCACACCAACGTAATTAATGACTTGACCTAAGTGAAGTTATTAATAACTTGAGTAGAATAGAAAGCAACATTATGAATCCAAAGTGGCTTGATGAAGACGACCCCTACTGCAATTAGGGCTGTTGGTTCGGTTCGGGTCGGGTAACCGAACCCGAAAACCGCAAAAAACAGAAAACCCGAAACCGAAACCGAACCTGTGTTTGACGGGTTGCGGGTACAGGAACCCGAAAAATGTACTGGTGGTTTTGGTTCGGGTGAACCCGAAACCGAACCGATTTGATTTTTTTTAATACTTTTGTAATTTGAATTTTATATTCTTTTGTTTGTACAAACAATTTTATTCTTATTATTTGTACATTCTTAAACATAAAACATACTATTTTATTCTTATTAGTTAATTATTAAAATATTATTCTTATTATTTGTACATTCTTTTGTTTGCACAAACAATTTTATTCTTATTAGTTAATTATTAAAATATTTAATTTTATGTATTCTATAACTATAGACATACTATTATAATTTTATGTATTGCTATGTAAGTAATACAACCTTTTGGGCCATTTAATTGTGGATTTTCATATAATTAAATGTTTTAGTAATACCATAGGTCCAAAATTGAAGGTACTATCATATGCAAAAAAATGTTTGGTGTTTGGCACAAAATTATAAATAATTTTGTTCAACATAAAATACCGACAATCATAGATGAGATTATCTTTAACTCATAATTAAACACATTAGTTTTACAATTCTCAAATGATAACATTCAAGTAAAATAAAAATTCATCCACCATACAAGATAAATACTACTACCATTATCACTCCTCATCAGGCTCTACATCTACATAAGTCTCATCATTCTCATCGGAATTGTTGTCGACATAGTCTTCTTCCACTTGTGACATAGTAGGACTCGAGACCAAAACATGGGTAGCAGGAGTGCTTCCACTAGGTCCTGCACGAGAGCTTCCACTAGGTCCTGCAGGTGCACTTGCACTCCAAGCTTGAAAAGCTGCATATACTGGATAACATAAACAATAACAACTTGTTAGAATATGACTTGATCAAGATAACAAATATAAGAATAAAGAGAAAGATTGAGTCTTTACCATTTTGAAATACCACTTCATCACCCTCATCTTCTCCATCAGCCACCAACTCGGAGTCTGAAGATCTTATCCAGTCTTCACAACAAATCAAAGCCTCCACAACTTCAGGGGATAAAGAGGTCCTAAACGAATCTAAAACTCGACCTCCTGTACTGAATGCAGACTCAGAAGCAACAGTGGAAATAGGAACAACAAGAATATCCCTAGCCATCTCAGAAATAGTAGGATATTTCATCCCACTTCGAGACCACCATCCCAAGATGTCAAACTTGTATTCATCCTCTTCTGAACCCACCAATGCTCGTGTAACCACTTCATCATCCTCCTCCTCCTCCTCAAGGTACCTATCAAACTCAGATTTGGAACTTTTTCTAGTTCCTTTCAGAATGGCCTCTCTTTTCATTTTCCTAAAATCACCCCAAATCTTCCCTTTCTTCTTCCCATCCCCACTTCCACTAGGTTCTTGCACATCTTCCTGAATCACAATGGGAGAACTGCCAGGAAGTCCGAGCCTATGCTTGTAATGGTCAAACAGAAGACGCATTTCATCTTTCACCTCTTCGACCAAAGCTTTACCCCTGCTCTCACCATACACCTTTTTCAAAGCTTGTTCAAGATATTCAATTTTCCGCCTAGGATCTAATATGACTGCCATATAACACAACCGATTCATCTTGGAATTCTCCAACTCATCTTCAAACCAATACTTGGTAAGTTTGGACTTGATTCTCTCAGCCATGCAAGACACCTCAAAATCTATATCATCAGCCCACTCAGATATCATAGTATACATTTCACATACCTCATCAAACAAGAGGTGTAAAGTCACATATGAAGTCCCAGAAACTCGAACAGTCAAATCATAGAATAGCTTCAGGTAATCAATCAACCGTCCCACACTAGACCAATCATAAGAAGTTGTGATACCAAGGCTTTCATTTCCATATTTTTTTTCATTGAGATGTTTCTTGAATTTCTTATCATTTCTAGCTAATGTCAGAAATGCTTTCTCAAATGGCTTTGCAGATTCCAACATCAGATACGTTGAGTTCCACCTTGTAGCTACATCCAACGAAACAAATTTCTTCGACACTATCTTTTCAAACTCAATGCAATCTTTGAATTTTCTACTCCTAGTTGGTGTAGATTTAACCCACTTCACAGACTCTCTCACTCGCTCCAAAGATTTACCAGTTTCTTTAAGCCCATCCTTCACAGCCAAATTAATAATGTGAGCCACACACCTCATCTGCAGATACTTTCCATCCAAAATATCTGATCCCCACTCTTTCAACTGTTCCCTCATATGGATAGCAACCACATCATTGACACTAGCATTGTCCATAGTTATACAAAACACCTTCCTAATGCCCCACTCCACCAAACAACTAGCCAACTGTTTTCCAATTTCACTTCCAGAATGTTTTGTAACTTGGACAAAGTTAATAATTCTTTTATGTAATTTCCAATCTCTACCAATGAAATGAGCAGAAATGCACATATAATTGAGATTGGACAAAGAAGTCCAAGTATCAGTGGTGAGAGATACCATTCCTAAACACTTAGTCTTGAAATAGTCCTTCAGCAACTCTCTATTTTCAAAGAACACCTTGATACAATCCTCTCTAACGGTCTAACGGCTAGGTAACACAAACATTGGACAAACACGGGCCATAAACCGTTTGAACCCTTCATGTTCAACATACCTAAATGGTAATTCATCTATGATAATCATCTCCGCTAAAGCTTTCCTAGCATCAATCTGATCGAATTTCCAAGTCCCAAAAGTGTGTACCTGGCCTCCAGAAGATGATAGATGGTCGACTATCAGCTCACCCTTTTGTATCTTTTCCAAACAACTATCTTTATGATTCCGCAGAGTAGAAGTCCCATATCTAGTGGGAGCCATAAGAACACCATTGCAATAAATGCATCTTGCTTTGTCCACTCCATCCTTCTTAAAACGCTTGAAGTGTGGCCAAACGTCAGATTTTTCTTTCCTTTTTCTTGAAATTGTCTCCTCGTCTGTTGTTTGAGCAGGAGGTACATTGGTGGTACCGGTAGACGGTGCAGGAGCAGGAGCAGGATCAGAAGACGGTGCAGGAGAAGGAGCAGGAATGCTGGTACTCTTAGAGCGTCCTCCACGTCTAGGACGAGAAGCCGATGGTGCCTCACTTCCCCTGTCAAAATGAAAAGTAAAGTACAATTCATTAACTATACACATTAACAATAATTAATCATGTTGCTCATTTTCATATCTTGCTTTGGACTCATATGGAGGAAGAAGACGTGGCAACCGAAGTTATTGGATGGCTTTATTTGCAGCAAGGGATAATGGGAAGAGGACAGAATGCTTCAATTGAAATATTATGATTGATTTGGTCATCATAGTACAATCATCAGTGTATTTTTGCATTGCTCGCAAAGCATACATCTTTTGTTTCTCTCCATGTAGGCTACTTTTAGAAGATAAATCATAAGCATAAGTGATTAGTGATAAATCATAAGCATATCTACTTTTCGCATATCAATTGCAAGATCATGATAATCCATCACAAAAATAATTCAATAACCATGCTCCTAATTCTACTCTTCCCAAAATCCACCTAACCATACAATCATTCGATAAACAAAACCCAAACTCTGCATGTATGTAACTTAAATCAATCCCAATTCAATCGAATCCAGCAAATAGAAATTGTCTCTAATAATTGAAAGTACTATCCAAAATGGAGGAAACCTATGCAAGTTTAAGCAGAGGCTCCACATTCTCGGCAGAGCCACATTCTTATCTATAATGGGTACTATGAAGTAAGAACATACAACAGAAAACCTGCAGGCTGCCATCCTATGAATCACAGGACAAACTGAACATACACTGTATAGGTTATACACTGTACCCTTGTTCATGACACGAGGATGAGTAGAACAGCCAACTGCTCTTAATTCAACTAGCAGAAGTTCTAGGACTTGCCTACACCCTTATCCTTGAGGTAAAGTGGAATCCTCCCGCCTAGCTTCTTGGAATCATTCTCCACGGCACTTGGTACTTTTCGCACAGCTTCAAATACTCCACAACCAAATCAGCCTGGTCGAGCAATCCATCTCTGTGCCTTTCTTCTTCCCCGCCAGGGGAAACCCATTCACAGCAGCATATTCCCAGACTACCATCACCCAAAACAATCTACCTCTAACTACATCTAGAACCCAGTAATAAATTGAAGCAATAGAATAATTGTTCGAAGAGACTCACTGGGATTCCATGGCGAAGTGCGAACTGCGAAGCCGAAGGGGTGGCGTCTCCTTCGTCGAAGCTTCAAAGGGCTTGAGACCCAGATGCGCCGAAGAGACAGGAGAGGAATCGATGATGGTGAAGCGGATTCCTCACGAGGCCGCTGGCGGCCAGGACGATGATGGCGGCGAGGAGGCTCTGTTTTCCAATCGTCTCGCTCAGTGCTCTGTTTCGTTCAGGTTTTCCAAAATCGAAGAGACGGCCGACGGCAAGAGGTGAAGGCCGCTAGGGTAGGAGTTGCTCTCAGACTCAAAGTCAAAACGACAGCGTGACTGTTTGACTGAATTGCACTGCGTATGGGTTTTGCGGGTTTTGGTAAACCAAAACCGCTGCACTGTGTATCGGGTTGAACCCAAAAAAATCGAAACCAACACTGTGCATATCGGTTCGGGTTCGGGTTAAACCGAAAACCCGAAACCGAATTGACAGGCCTAATTGCAATTGCTGCAAGACTTAAACAAACTTCAAGATGAAAGCCACGACACCGGATTTGGCCGAGACGTCGACTACAAACGATGGTTGGCTTTGACTGAACAATGCTCGTTGATGTTGGAAGCGAGCTAGAACATGATTGGAAACAAACTTGGGGATTAAAGCTGAACGAGCGGCTACCCGAATATAACAGTAGATGATGTTAGCCGAAACTCCCTTGTACAGTCTCCGACATGAAACACCGTGAATAAGATGACCCGACATACGGAAACACCATATAATTCCATTCAAAGGAACTCAACGGCACAACAAGATATAAGACATACCCAAACATAGAATTATCGGTACATCGAACGTACCTATTGAAGTTCCCCCAACCATGCAATTCATGTATGAGACCCAAAAGGAGCGGTACCCGACCAATCTACTATGTCGAGGAGAGAACCCCATCCGCAACGACAACACGGCGCGGCTTGAACAACCAACTTTTTCCTTGTGACTAAGCTTGTTTGGTGATGATGGAGGAGAAGAAGTTTCCTCCAGCTGACTGTGTACTTAGGATACGTCGACTGAGCAACCATAGAAGAACCACACGAAAGACCCGGGTGGAAGTGACTTGACTTTCCATGAGCTGCGAACAAACCATGCTTGACTCAGGAGCAAATTCTTATTCTCGTTCACTACCAGACGAGAGCAGTCATGCCGACGATGTTGGAATGGGGAGCGAGACTCGCGGGGACAATGATTACGATGAGATTGAAGACGATAGCAGCCATGGCGACCTAACTTTTGGTGACCAATGACTGAAATCGATAGGGAGACTTGATGAGCTTTAAAAGGCGATGCCGCCGCTAGGGCCTCGAAGAAAGACGATGCGCGGCGGACCCAACGGCAGACCAAGAGCATGAAGCGGACGAGCACCAACTTGACAATTGATGGCACCTTGGCTTTCGATCTTACAACAGATCTAGAGATCTCGTTCTCGACGGTGGGAAGGACTTCGCCGTCGAACTACGGAAGAAGCAGAGGCGACAACGATACGGATCTGAAGTTGGGGTCGGAGTGGACATCGGCTCTTCTTTCAAAGACGATCGTGACTAATCGTGGGGACACCAGGATGATGTTGGAAAGGTCGGCTGACAACCGAAAGTGGCTACTGTGAAAGTAGCGTGAAAGATAGATGGACTTTGCCTATGGAGAGGTTAACTGCGAAAACTCAAAACCCTAACAAGGATCGAGTTTTGCTCTAATACCATGTAGAATTTGATGATGTGGAAGGAAACAAACACAGAACACAAGATTTTACGTGGTTGATTGATCGAGACTAATCCACGGTGAGTTCGGAACGAGCTCACGACTGATATTTTATTAGGGACTACATTGTGACGGCTTGTTATCACACAAGTGGATAACTAAGCTTATATAGATAACCTAAGGGTTAAAATCCTAATGCCACGACTAGGACAAGGCCCATGACTCACATGGTTTAATTAACCGCAACACTACAAGGCCCTAATCGAGAAATCTGGAATGTGGTGCAGATCCATCCCTATTAGGATTTGTATGCTTTGGTTGCAATGCGCCCAAAGTTGAGAAACAACAACGTAGCAACATTGGAATGAGATTCGGGCCACCCTCAAGTGCCCCCTAGGCCAACCATAACAAAGCCAGAAGCACCAAATTCGGAGACAAGGTTGAAGCACCAAGAGAAAGACTCGCAGGCTCTAGTGGAAGCATTCAATGATTCAAGTGTCATGTAAGAGCACATGTGGCCAACCAATGTCCTAACGTAAGAGCTCTAATCATGTTGTGGAATGAGAGTATGTCTCGAATTCTGATGAAGAGGAGCACACAAAGGAGATATAAGATTTAGAGGTCGATGAAACAACCGAGATGGAAGCACCTCTGAAAACTTTGCTTGTTACAAGAAGGATCTTAAGCGTGTAACCCAAGGAAGATCTCGAGCAAAGAGAGAACTTGTTTCATACGAGGTGTGTGGTGGATGGAAAGTTACTCTCCTTGGTGATAGATGGCAGAAGTTGCACTAATGCCATGAGTACCATTGCGGTTAAGAAGTTGGGATTGAGCACAATGAAGCATCCCAACCTTACAAACTCCAATGGCTCAACGAGGATGGGTCAATCAAGGTTGCAAGGCAAACGTTTTTGAGGTTTGAGATTGGAGGCTATAAAGACGAGGTCCTATGTGATGTAGTACTGATGCAAGCTAAAAACGTCCTACTTGGAAGACCATGGCAATTTGATCTAAGTACACAACATGATTGGGTCTCCAGCAAGTATCGATTGATGCATAAGAGAAAGAAGGTCGTGTTGAAGCCCTTATACCCCAAAGAAGTCTATGAAGATCAGCTACAACTAAAATGGAATAGGGAGCAAGAAACCGAGGCTAGCACCACGAGCCAGAAGCACGGAGGGAGTAATTTCATGGAGTCCAAGGCATTGATGTTAGCACAAAGTGGAGACGTCAAGCAATTGATAAATGATTGTGAATCCATGATCTTGATCATGTTCAAGGGTGTGCTACTCAATCAAGAGCTAATTCAAGACATACCACCTAAGGCACGAGTGGTATTTATGGTAGTTTGATGATGTCTTTCCCGAGGAAGCTCCAAATGTTATCACCAAATCTGTATGAAGGAAGGAGATTAATGGAAGACTGCTTTGAAGACTAAGCATGGTCTATACGTGTGGATGGTTCATGAGATTGATGAACCACATGTTAAGAGCCTTTATTGGGAAGTTGGTAGTTTTCTACTTCGATGACATCCTGATCTATTCGAGGAACATGGAAGAACATCTAGATCATTTGTGCCAAGTGTTGACGAACTTGAGGAAGAAGCAGCTATATGCCAACCTTAAGAAGTGTACATTTTGTACCTCGAGTGTGGTATTTATGGGATTCGTAGTAGGTGCGAATGGTGTTGAGGTCAATGATGAGAAGGTGAAGGCGATTCAAGCATGGACTACCCTACCAACGTGAATTAAGTGAGGAGTTTTCATGGGTTGGTTGGCTTTTTTCAATGATTCATTCCAAATTTTAGCACCATTGTTGCCCCTATGGCGTCAATTATCAAGAAGAATGTGTCATTTTATTGGGGAGAATAGCAAGAGAAGGAATCCGAGATAGTCAAATACAAACTCACTCATGCTTCTATTATGATGCTACCTGATTTGAACAAGATGTTCGAGGTGGTGTGTGATGCATCAGGATTGGGAATTGGAAACCGAGAGGTCTTGGATTGCTTGGGGAAAACCATGAAAATTTGGGATGGTTTCGCCAACCCGGATTGTAAGTGTTGTGATAGGGGTTATTGTTGTTGTTGTTGTTGTTGTGGACCCCCCTAGCATTAGCAATGAAGCTCACTTTCTCTTCCGGAGTGCTTGCTTTCTTCATCAATCACTCTGCATTCTCACGATGAGTGAAGAATTCTCCTCCGTGCCGTGTACTCCCTTCTCGGCTTCCCTTCTATAGTGTCTCGACGAACCACAACCATACCCCTTTGTCTCCATATCCTCAAACAAAGCAGTTATCTTGGTTGGAGTCTTGTTCATCAGGTTCTCTTGACACAAAGAGTCAATGAGAATCTTATCTTCTTGATGAAGACCATCATAAAAGGTTTCACTGAGGAACTGCTCTCCAAACCCGTGATGTGGACATTGGACGAAAAAGATATAGTACCTATCCCATGTATCCCTCAAAGTTTCATCCTCCTCTTGGACGAAGAGGGGTGATCAACTTACGCCATTCAGGTGTCTTGGAAGGTGGAAAATATAGGGTCTTGAACTTGTTGATCAAGTTGCTCCATGAGGTAATCGAGAGGGGTGGCCTATTGTTGAGCCATTAAAGTGTTTTCCCCGAAGAGAGTAGGGTAAAGGCCTCCACTTAAGAGCTTCTTTGGATACCCCATTGATCTTTAAAGTTCCCGCTATCTCAAGTAATCTATAGGCATGTTCCCTTGGAGACTCATCCTTAAGCCCCTGGAACTGAATGTTGTGTTGGATCATTGTAACGAGGTTGGGCTTGATCTCGACATTGTTGCGCCACGGGTGGATGCAAGATGCTTGATTGAATATCCTCCGCCCGTGGATCCATATAGTAGCCCATGGTCCTCGGTTCCTCATTCTCCTCTTGGCCTTATTGATTATCCTCCATCGCAGCCTCGACTTCTTCTTCCGATTCAACTTCCTCTTCTATTACAACTTCAATTTCTTTGTCGAGATCAACTTGTGGCTCTTCTCGATTCACCAATGCTTCCCTCAACTACCTCTCATGAGCTAAGAGTCGAAGAGTTTGGTTGATGTTCTCATCAAATGGCTCCAAAGGTGTTGGATCACTTTGGGTCATACACCTCCTGCACACACTTCAAAAAACACAACATGAGCCAAGACAAGCAAGATTCACACTCAACAAAGCAGAAAGTAAAGGCTAGATTAACACCAAACGGATTTTTCAAAATAACGGACTGTAACCTCTCCCTGACTACGGCTACAAAAACTTGACTCGCTCTAACTACAACTTCCCAATCGACGGTCAAGTATAACCGACGACCGGGTGTAGGATAGGGTAATCAAGTAATAAAATTTATCGAACCACGGGGATCTAGGCTTACCTTACTTCAATTTAGGGTTCGTTATCTGTGCAACCTAGGATAGTTATTAAGAAACTAACCTAACTAACCTAGCTAATTACAAGGTGGGAGCTGTCTTGGGTTACATCCCCTAGTTCCGACATTTGGATTGATGATAACACCTAAATTGATGTTATTTACCCTTCGTATTTAGGTTTATTTCGAAATAGTTCATGTGCATAATCGTTTGAATAGCGTCCATTGCATCCCTATTTCGTTCCTATTTGATTATGATGTGATTTTAGAGTGCTTTAGACAATATATGCGTATTAGGTAAGAAAAAGGAAACAAGTGTAGCAAAAGGGGAAGAACGCTGATGATCACGACCTGGAGATGGAGTTCACGGCCGAGAACACAGACTGCAAACTCAAGGTAAAGATCGCGGCCTAAGAGCCTAAGATTGTGGCCATGAATATGGAGGCTTTGGGCGCAACTTTGTGTGAAGAAGCCAGCCAAGGAGAAACAAAGAGTTTCCTTAGTCTGATCACGATCACAATTCACCTTGAATGCGAGGAAGTTCATAGTCGCACTTCACGGATTGCAAGCGTGAAGTCAGACCATGAACCCCTCGTGTCTGAAGGCTAAAACAGCGGCGGCAGATCACAGGCCTTAGGAGGATGATCGCGACCGCAATATTCACACTATCTGACCGTGAACTTCTCTATTCTCTTAAGGCTATAAATAGAAGACCCCTTTCCCCCATTTAAGAGAGATGGTTTTGAGAGAGAAATTCCTAGTTAGAGAGAGAGAGAGATAAGAGAGTGAAGCAGAAGGAAAGAGAAGAGAAGGAGCTAGAGGAGATCAGCCACCTTCCTCAACATCAAGTCTTCCCCAATTTCTTCTGTGTATCTTCTTCCCTCCTTTATAGAGTAGTCTTCTAAGGTACTAGGGGTTCTAAACCCCAAACCCTAGATTTGGGCTATTATGTGTATGAATAATTAAGGGTTTTGAATGAATGTGTTTATCTACTTGATTTCATTGCTTCTCTAGCTTTAATTGTGTTTGGATAAGTCACCCTAATCTTCTCTACTAGCCTACTTGAGCTTCTACACTAGGTATGGAATTTCAGGGTTAGACGGGTATGCGCCATCAAGCAAATTAGGTTAGATGAATGAATAGTATCTTATGGTGGACAAGGCGGCTGTACCCCTGCCATATGAATGCCTTCCTATATAGAACCCAAGATGAAACCTCACAGTGGACGGTGGGTAGTGCCCATTGAAATGAGCTATGTTCTTAATGCTACAATAGCCTAGATCGAGGTGACTGAGATGGGTTTAGGGGAAGGGTACTCAGTGGCGTATGGATAACCACGAAAGTCCACGGAAAAGAGCTTACTCACCACATTCGCTAAACCCAACTTATTTATACATTGCATAGTATACCTAGGCTAGGGTGAGGGATAGTTCCCCAAAGTACCTGCTTTTAAAGTTTTTTGTTCTCTCTACTAGTTATTTTGCCTGAATCCTCCATCACAAAACCTAAAACCGATCGACTAGATAACAACAACGTGGGAAGTAGGTTAGGGTACCAGGGCCCGAGTGAATACTACCTTGATTGCCACTATATACCAACACCACTCTAGGTTAAACTTGGCCTAGGATGGGGTAGTTATTCAAATGTGCTAACTATTGACAATGAAGTCGGGGGGGGGGGGGGGGGGGGGGGGGGGCGAAGGAGAGATAAGAGTGTGAAGAAGGGAAGTTTATTGAAGATTTAAGAACCATTGCTGTTAGCGGTTCATATATGATAGACCATTAATTACACATGTTCTTACTCCTATTCTTTAGCCGTTTGAGACATTGATTCTCGTGTTTTAAGCCGATTTAACGCTAGGTTGTGCGTTTTTGTCATATTTCAGGGCTTAGCATTGGCATCGAGGCGAAGGAACGAGATTTGGGTCGAAAGGAGCAAGTGAGGTTTGAAGTGTGCTGGAGAACAAAAATACCCGGCCATGATCAGAAATACCCGGCCGGGAATTATTTGGCGATGACCGGGGATCAGAAGCTTTGGGCGTCTTTGAGAAACAGAGAGGGGCCCGGGCAGGAGGCAAAAATCCCCGGTCGGGGATTCTTGGCAATGACCGGGGATTTTCCCCTTAACCCGACGGTGCGTTTCGTACATACCCGGTCGCCACCCAAAATACCCGACCGGGTATTTAGGCCTGGGATCGCGACAGACAGCTTCTAAAGGGATAAGAAGGCTAAAAATCAAGGGTTCCAAGTTTTCGAGAAAAAAGCGATTCCTAGAGAGAGAAAGCGACGAACCAGAGTTCCCAAGTGCCCTAGCTTGATCTTCATCACCATTGGAGCCCTGCTTGAGCTTGGAGAAGTGCCAATCGACAACCAGGAGCAGAAATCCATCCTTCACAGTATGGTTTCCGCATCTGAATCTGCTTTTGCTTCTCTCTCCATGGAGTAGTTTTCCCATTCTTCTGGGTATGGAGAACCCTAGATTTGTATGTTAGGTCTGATTGTATGAACCCAAGTACAGATTTTATGATTTGATTATATTCAATTGAGGCTTGAATGATTGAATGACTTGAATCCTGATCAAATTCCTATTATTTCTGTTTTAGCCTAGAATGAGAATATATGCCTAGGTTAATAGAGAACCCTTAATTGAAGGTAGTGAATTGGCGACTTTAGTCGAGGAGCCAGTTCACTATTCTGTACCGAACTTGCTTCGGTAGTGGAGGTTTGGTTCGTTAGGGCCTCAATCTGTTTACTCCGGTGAAGGTTAGTCGCCCGCTGGGGACTCAGATTGAGAGGGTCTGGAGACCTTTAGTCGAGACTTCAGACTGTTTAAGAACCTTCCGCAGTATAACTATCATAGAAACTGAACTTGGTAATTGCAATCCGGCTTAACTGCAGTCTAGGGGGAACCATATCCGGGTGACCTCTCTCGACTTGATAACAACCGTTTAATTGCTTGCTTTAATTGTTTTGCGTGTTTGAACCTGCACTAAAGTTTCACCGCTAGATAATAAGAATTCACTAAGTAGTCATCACATCTAGGACCCGGGTTGACATTAAAACCCAAACCCGCTATACTACGCTTTACGAAGTGGTTACACTTGGCCATTTTTTAGAGTGACAGTAGGAGTGAGTCAAGTTTTTGGCACCGTTGCCGGGGTCGGCTAGGTTGTTGAAGAAACGTGAATTCTGTTAATCTAGCTTTTCTTTTCGCATTGTTTGCTTAGTCCCACTTGTGCCTTCACGGGTTTGCTTGCTTGACTGTGTGCAGGTAGTGCATGACCCGTAGCCAGTCGGGAGGTTTACTGCCGTTGAATCCGGAGATTGAACGCACCTGTTGCTAACTCAGGAGACAACAGTGAGCTAGACTGGCTACGGAGGAGCGCATAGACGGCCATCTGAGCAGCGAGTCCGAGGAAGAGTACGAGATGGAAGGAGATCACAATCCACACCAGGGGAATCCTCACCAGGTTCCCCCTGTGAATCAGATCTTGGGGAACAACCCCATACCCCAGGCAGATGGGGTTCATCATCATCCACCGCCGCCGGGTCCCACCTTGGAGTACTACTACACTCCACGGATTGCTGACATCCGCCCTGTCATCCTCTATCCACCCATTCCAGCGAACAAATTCGAGATCAAGCCATGCTAGATTCAACTCATTACATCCTCTATCCAGTTCAATGGCTTTAAGGATGAGGAGGCAAGGGTGCATCTTTCCCGTTTTCTGCAGCTGACGAACGGGTTCAAGCTAAACGGTGTCCCTGATGACGCAATCCGCCATCACCTCTTTCCCCATTCTCTAGCGGGGAATGCTAAGAGGTGGTTGGAGACCCAGCCCCCATTGTCCATCACTTCTTGGGACGATCTGACCGACAAGTTCGTGCACAGGTACTACCCAGCATCGAAGACCACAGAGATCAAGCGGGAGATCACTAACTTCCGCCAAGAGCCAGACGAGTCACTTCGTGATGCATGGGAGCGGTACATGGTATATTTTTGGCAGTGTCCCCATCATGGCTTCAGTGATGCATTTACAGTGGGGAACTTCTACAGTGCCCTCTCTCCGGACAGCCAGAGGGTGATTGAGTCTCTATGCCCAGGAGGGGATATTCTTACTAAGACTCCACCCGAACTGAACCAGATGATCAGTACCTTGGCTGCCAGAGATCATTCCTGGGGGCAGAGCACCAGAGGCAGGAATTCCCGGGATCGTGGTGTGCATGCCATGGAGGCCAGGTCCGGGTTCGAGCAGCAGGTGGCCGAGTTAGTGTAGGCATTGAAGCAGCCCAACAGTCTTATTCCGGGCAGAGGTTTGGCTACACCTCCAGTAGCTCAATGTCAGTGGTGTGAGAGCTCAAATCATCTGGTGGAAGACTGCCAGGCTATGCGAGAGTCTTCTACTCCCCAGGAGCAGTTGGACTTCATCGCCAATGCTCAGCACTTTGACCCCTACAACAATACATATAATGAGGGGTGGCGCTACCATCCCAACTTGGCTTGGAAGAGCAACACCATTAAGCCACCTGGTTTTCCAGCACCAGCAGGTGGTTTTCAGCAGAGGCAGCCTTTCCAGGCTAGACAAGGGCCAGTTCCTCAGCAGCAGCCTCAACGTCAGTATGCCGAGCCAGCAGCAGCTCCGGATCCAGATAATCAGATGACGGAGCTGAAAAACATTCTAGCGGCATTCATGAATACCAACCAGGCGAATTTCACGAGGATGGACCAGCACATAAATTCACTGGAGGCAGCCTGAGGAACCAGGGGGCCATTTTGCAAGATTTACAGAACCAGGTTGGTGACATAGCTCGCCAAATTAATACCCGGGCCCCGGGAACTCTACCTGCCACTACCATCCCCAATCCACGGGAGCCACAACAGCAGCTAAATGCCATCACCACTAGGAGTGGCAAGTCCACATCGGCGGTACCTGCCTAGGCTAAGGAGGAAGAGCCACTGCCTGCTTCAGCACTTCCAGCCGATGATGTAGAAGAGAGGGTGGAGAAGGAAGCCCCTGCTCCCAAGCCACAACTAGTGGTTAAGGAGCATGTACCCCAGCTTCCCTTCCCCACTCGACTACATAAAGATAAGCTGGAGACTGAGTTTGCCAAGTTTATGGCAATGTTGAAGCAGCTCAATGTCAGCATACCCTTCATGGAAGCACTGTCAAAGATGCCCAAGTATGCAAAGTTCATGAAGGATCTCCTCAGCAACAAGAAGACACTTGGGGATCTTTCGACGGTGATGCTGAGCGAGGAGTGTTCCGCCATCTTGCAAAACAAGCTGCCCGAAAAGCGCAAAGACCCAGGGAGTTTGACTATCCCTCTTAATATTGGCAGCATGCATGTATGGAAGTCCTTGGCGGACCTAGGCGCTAGCATAAATGTCATGCCATACAATCTGTTTAAAAATCTAGGCCTAGGTGAACTTAGCCCTGCTAGGATGAGCATTCAGTTAGCTTATCGCTCTATTGTACATCCTAGGGGTATCATAGAGAATCTGCTTGTTAAAGTAGGCGCATTCATGTATCCTGTTGATTTCGTTGTTCTGGATATATATGAGGATGTGGATGTGCCTTTGATTCTGGGTAGATCATTTCTTGCCACCGCCAAGGCACTTTATTATGTGCATAGTGGTAAACTGATCTTGCGTGCTAGGGATGAACATGCTACTTTTTCTGTGGCTGACCCTGATCATAGTGATATGCCTGATGTCAAACCTATGCATGCTATTTCTCACCAGGTACACGAGCCTGTCATGTACCCCCCTGTGCATCTCGTTTTGCAGGATCCCCCTCTCACGCCTGCGCCGCCACTCACTTCAACCTCACCACCAAAGAAAAGGATCAAAGAGGAGTGGCGGCCGAAGCAGCAGGTGGCTAAGCCTGCACGAAAGAAAGGTGGATACCACTATGAGCTGGTTCCACCTCCTTCACCACGACCACCCTGGCCATCCGAGTACTCACTCGGCTGCATCTTGTCGGATGGCCAGGTCGAGCTGACTAATGCTAGTGGTTGCACCAGTCGGGTGCACGCCCGCAATCTGAAGCTGTACCTCAAGAGTGATGTGGATCCGCTCTTGGAGGCACCTGTTTCTGCACCCCGCTGAGTATCCACCATGGGCGTCCAGGTAAAAGACGGTAAAGAAGCGCTTGTGGGGAGGCAACCCCACCACGGTTTGCATTTCTTTTTCCCTTTTTCTGTGTTTTGTGTCGTGTTGAGTCAGTTGCATGTCTGTGTTGAAGTTCGGTCGTTGGTTATGTCTCGGTTTGGTGTTTTCGTGCAGAGGAGGTTGAAATTTTGGGAGAATGAGAATTTTGGCCGGAAGGGTAAAATACCCGGTCATGAGCCAAAATATCCGACCGGGTATTTTTGGCTCGTGACCGGGACCCCCTCTGCGTGCCGGGGCGCCCAAAGGGCAAATCCCCGACCTTGGCCCAAAAAAAACCCGACCGGGTATTTTTGGCATAAGGCCGGGGATTTCCCAGGATTGTAACGCCGTGTTTCAGAGACCTCCGACCTTGGCCAAAAAATACCCGACCGGGTATTTTTGGCCCAAGGCCGGGGATTTCCATGAGCATGAAACGCGGCGTTTTACAAAAACCCGGTCATGGACTTTAAATACCCGACCAGGTATTTTGGAGCCCCGACCGGGGATTTTTGCTATTTAATCAAACCCCCGGTCAGTTTTCTCTCTCTACCCTCATTTTTTTCCAAAATTTCCCTCTCCTCCTCTCAAAAACCTATGCCCTCTCTCCTCCCTTGGTCACCGCCGACCAGCCGCCGCCGTCTCCGGCCTCAGCCGCCGCCGGCCACATTCCGGCGACCTTTCGGCGTGTTTCCGGTGATTTTCCAACCAACTTTCCGGCGAGCCTCCCAAGTCGTTTTTTGCCCTTTTTTTCGCGTCCCTCACCCGTTTTAGCGTCCTAGCTACAGTTCTACTTGAGTTTCCAGGTGTGTTTCTTGTTTACTACTCTTTTTCTAGAAAATCAAACTGTAGATTGTAGGACCAAGAACTGTGATTGCCTGACATGCTTGAATTAGAATAGGGTGAGGGATGCCTTGTCTATGATTGACTATGGCTATTGTGTGTGTGTTGCCCGGGTGATTAAATTGGTCGTTTGTGGTTGCTTCTTGCATTGATTACGGTTGAGTTGCTTGCAATTCAACCGGTTATGCTTAACCTGCTAGCCTAGGTGATCCTTAAGTGTGGGGGAAGCAATGAACCCATAATGTTGGTCCTGACAAGTTTTTCTTGGCTCCACCTTTGGTTTGCTGATTGTGGAATAGCATGTCGCTTGACCATCCATTTTTGCAGGACCTGAGCCTGCACCGGGATTACGCGGACCAGTTCCGCAAGGTCATCCGGGGGAAACTGGAGAGCCACCACCATTTGGAGTGGGCAGTTTTCGAGCAGCTCCACTGCATACAGAAGCTCTCCTCCGCCACCAGCCACCGGGATTGGCGGACTTTGCTGACGATCGAGGAGCCCACCTACACCGAACTGGTGTGGGAATTCTACACCACGTTCCAGTACCGCCCCAAGGCAGCCCGGGACTCCTACGCGGTCACATTCAGGCTGGGTGGCCGCCCATGGCAGCTGACTATAGACGCCATGGGGATCGAGTACCACCCATTCTCACGCCACGAGGTCGAGGTCCCGAACCCGACAGACTGGAACATGGATGAGTTCTACCGGCGGATAGCCCGGCGCGCCTGTGGGTTCGACTACTTCGACGCCGGCCAGACATCTGTTCGCACCCTGAAGCTGCAGTGGCCCATTCTGAACCTGCTCATCACCCGATCCATCGTCCCCAATGTCACTGGCTCCCACAAGATCCCGAAGCGGGTACTGTACGCCATGTACTCGATGGGGTACCCGGATCACATGCTGCATTTGGGTTCCTTCGTGGCTACCACCTTCTCTCGATGCCACGGGAAGTTGAACTATCTCTTTTGTGGTCCCCTGATCACTCGCTTGGCGCGCCATTTCGACATCAGCTTCGATGACCTCACCGATTCTATTTTCCGGGGTGGCTCCACCCCCCTCAGCCAGGACGTGCTTCACAATGCACTCCTCCTGGCCACTGATGGCACCCGTTCCTGGGTGGATGGGCTCTCCATGCCCCCTGAGGAGGATGCAGACCTCGATGAGTACGAGGAGATTGTTGATTACACTGATGAGGAGGAGGATGATGATGATGATGATGGCGGGGCCATGGATGCTGATGAGCCAGAGCCCCCACTCTCTCCACCAGGGGACCTTCGGCCACGACGGAGATTAGAGAGAGGCGAGTCTTCCTCCAGTCCTTCTGGTCCGTCGATGGCTTCTGGCCAGTCGATGGAATTTTTCACAAAGCAGTTCCAGCAGATAGGGCTCCAGTTCCAGCAGCTCGGTCTTCAGAACCAGCAGCTCATGGACCATCAGGTCCAGTTTTACCAGCAGTATTCAGACCACCAGGCCGAGTACTAGTCCAGGCTGACGGTCGACGACGAGCGCCTCGACCGGATGGAGGCCCAGATGGGAGTCACTGGTGCTCTCATCGAGCGGGAGCGTGATCGTGGCCGCCGATTGATGCAGTACTCGGAGCACCTGCTCCAAACTTGTCACCCACCGGAGGAGCACCACTGGACCACTCGGTGGGATCACTCGCCACCGCGACCACCATCAACACCACCAGTGGGGGCGACGATCTCATGGACCAGATTGACTTCACCGAGCTCGAGTAGGCTGTGCTCGTAGCCCCATTTTATGTTGTTTTCCTTTCTGTCAGAATGCAAACTGTCTTGTGTGTTGGTTTATTTTATTTTCTTTCTTTTGATTTTGGATGATGTACTATTGGGCTGACCATTGGACCTAACATACTGTGTTTGAGTTCTTTTGTTCCCTTTAGCTGTGTTGTGTCCCTTACTGGTCCTTCTCCAGTCCGCTTCACTCAGACTGGTCCCTTTCCAATCTCATGCAGTCCGTGCACACCGGTAACATCGTTCCCCTTATCCTTCCCTCTTCTCCATTGAGGGTAATGTCGATCTTAAGTGTGGGGGGGATGTTTCTCTTTTGACTGCGTTAGATCTGTTTGTGTGCTTGGAGCGTAGTCCACTGTCCAAATTTTTAAATTTGAGGGCTCCAAGTACGTGTTTCCTTGCAAATTGCCTGCTTAATATGCTTTGAATTGACAGTCTCTATAGCAATGTGCAACCTAGGGAGGTAGTGTAGCACTATGGAGGATGTTGAAGTATAAGATTTTTCCTATCTAGCTCTCTGCTGTGCCAGTTGATTTTGTGAATTAGTGGAGCTAAGACTGTTGAATTCATGTGGTAATGGTGACTCTGATTGGATTGTGTTTTGGACTCGTGTATCGAATAGGGTGCTCATGTGAAAAATGAAATGCAGTTGGTCCTCCATGTCAACATCATTAAATCTTAACCATGGGGTAAGCCCAACGTGTGCGGCACCGTTCATTGCAAAAAATCGGGTTTTGGAAGAGATTTTTGTGATCCTTAGTGGGGTACTCCTACAAGGTGAAGCTAAGCCGTCTCTAGTACAAGTAAAACTTCCACCCATTGAACGGTTTGCCTACTTGAGGATGTGTTTTTAAGGGCACGGATAGAGCTTCCGACCCCCCTTAATTTCATTGACCCTCCACACGAGTTGAGGAAAAGGAGTTAAAAGAAGTACTCTGGCGAGCTCCAGATGTACAGAAATTGCTCTTGCTCGACTAATAAGGGTCGACCGTGCAAAAGACTGCAGTTGGAACCCCCGCTAAGTGAATGAAATGAGAAAAAAAAAAGAAATAAAGTGAAAGTGAAAAAGGGGTTCCAACGGTGAAAAGAAGTGAAAAGAGCACCCCGGTACAACGAGTCCTTGGTTGTGAATGATATGAGTCCCTTTATCCATGAACTGACTGTCTTACTTCTACTTCTTCTCATGATCCTGGCTTGAGTCTAGTACTCGCATTGAGAGAGATAGGGAACATCTTAGAAGACCAGTTAACCTCGTAAGCTGCTATATGATCTAGGAAATCCTCTACCGACGATCGGGGTTGTTTGTTCTATAGAGGTCTGGAGAGTTGCATTGATTTGAGTTAGGTTTGCTTGGGGACAAGCAAACGGTTAAGTGTGGGTGAGTTTGATAGACCATTAATTACACATGTTTTTACCCCTATTCTTTAGCCGTTTGAGACATTGATTCTCGTGTTTTAAGCCGATTTCACGCTAGGTTGTACGTTTATGTCATATTTCAGGGCTTAGCGTTGGCATCAAGGCGAAGGAACGAGATTTAGGTCGAAAGGAGCAAGTGAGGTTTGAAGTGTGCTGAGAACAAAAATACCCGGCCATGATCAGAAATACCCGGCCGGGAATTATTTGGCGATGACCGAGGATCTGAAGCTTTGGGCGTCTTTGAGAAACAGAGAGGGGCCCGGGCAGGAGGCAAAAATCCCCGGTCAGGGATTCTTGGCAATGACCGGGGATTTTCCCCTTAACCCGATGGTGCGTTTTGTACATACCCGGTCGCCACCCAAAATACCCGACCGAGTATTTAGGCCGGGGATCGCGACAGATAGCTTCTTAAGGGAAAAGAAGGCTAAAAATCAAGGGTTCCGAGTTTTCGAGAAAAAAGTGATTCCTAGAGAGAGAAAGCGACGAACCAGAGTTCCCAAGTGCCCTAGCTTAATCTTCATCACCATTGGAGCCCTGGTTGAGCTTGGAGAAGTGCCAATCGACAACCAGGAGCAGAAATCCATCCTTCACAGTATGGTTTCCGCATCTGAATCTGCTTTTGCTTCTCTCTCCATGGAGTAGTTTTCCCATTCATCTGGGTATGGAGAACCCTAGATTTGTATGTTAGAACTGATTGTATGAACCCAAGTACAGATTTTATGATTTGATTATATTCAATTGAGGCTTGAATGATTGAATGACTTGAATCCTGATCAAATTCCTATTATTTCTGTTTTAGCCTAGAATGAGAATATCTGCCTAGGTTAATAGAGAACCCTTAATTGAAGGTAGTGAATTGGCGACTTTAATCGAGGAGCCAGTTTACTATTCTGTACCGAACTTGCTTCGGTAGTGGAGGTTTGGTTCGTTAGGGCCTCAATCTGTTTACTCCGGTGGAGGTTAGTCGCCCGCTGGGGACTCATATTGAGAGGGTCTGGAGACCTTTAGTCGAGACTTCAGACTGTTTAAGAACCTTCCGCAGTATAACTATCATAGAAACTGAACTTGATAATTGCAATCTGGCTTAACTGCAGTCTAGAGGGAACCATATCCGGGTGACCTCTCTCGACTTGATAACAACCGTTTAATTGCTTGCTTTAATTGTTTTGCGTGTTTGAACCTGCACTAAAGTTTCACTGCTAGATAATAAGAATTCACTGAGTAGTCATCACACCTAGGACCCGGGTTGACATTAAAACCCAAACCCACTATACTACGCTTTAGGAAGTGGTTACACTTGGCCATTTTCTAGAATGACAGTAGGAGTGAGTCAATATACAAGAAATCGATCAAGTCGCGTCATCAATGAAAGGCCATGGGAAGCAACTCATGAAGTGTGATTGGTGTGGCGACTCGAGTCACTCTATGGAGGAGTTAAAGCCTATGATTGAGGCCTCAATGCAATTTGAGGAAGCCAACTTTGTTGGAGGGAAATCCCAGTTTGGAGCAACCATCCTAATTTTCTTTAGTCTTCTCCGACGGATTGGAAGCCTCTGGGGTTTCAATCTCAAGCTCCCATGCAATACGTTTACCCAAGGACAAGTCAACCATTCAATGGTCAAGTCTCTAGACTTGAAGACTTGGTAGGCCAATTCGTTACACACTCCAACAATAAGTTTGAGGCTATTGACAAATTCACAGAGAATACTACGGCCAAATTCTCAATTTTGGAAGCGAGTCAAAGGAATCAACAAGCCTCACTTCAAAATCTTGAAGCCTAACTAAGCTCATTGGCCACAAGGAGGGATGTCATGTGGTAACTCTAAGGTGTGACCGACCTTTGAAGGAGGTTCCTATGTCAACAGCGAGGATACCAGTAAGAGAAGTTCCACGTGAAATTATTCAAGAAGAAGAATTAATTTGGGAAGAAGTGTAACCCACTATTAACATCAAGATTGAAGAAGAGGAGACGTCTAAGAAGATTGAAGTCTAAGCTTTCCGCTGCTCCTTGTCACTACGTTGTAATAGTGTTGACCACTAAAACTAGTTGAGGGACTTCTCGTGGTGCCTCTTCATTTCTTGACCCGTTGCCCACTTTCCACTACTTAGGACCAAAGACCCTAACATCATCCTATTATCATAGCTACTGGCATCTGGTGATTGTTCCTCTTCCTTTGGAGATTCATATTTCTCCCCCTTGTTTGTCTTAGCTTATTAGATCATCCACTTATTTCCTAGTAGCAAAATCCTCGTACTACTCTCTCAACTCCTTCAAAATCCTTGAGGTATTCCCTTTCAGTTGGCATCTCTTTGCTGGTGTTTGGAGTTGAAGTCCTCGCACATTTGATTCTATCTTGAGAGCCTTTGAGATTCTATTTGGGTTGGTCACGTTTCTTTCATCCTTTCTTTCTTACTGATGATCGCCATACGCCTCAATCTCTTATTTGACGTCCCACGACGGGTTAACTTAACTCGCGTCCTAGCTTATTCTTAAACCAATTGCACCCTCGTGCTACCTTCTCATAGTGTCGTGCTGTAATAGTTATTCACCTTATTATGATTAGAGTAGACTGGTGATTCTATAAACTCTTAAAAGAAGATCCTTGACTCGTTTTCCTTTCCTTTAAAACAAAAGCCTTTAAAACTGAGACCGATATTCCAGTATTCCTTGGAGACCAAGGAACAGAGGAAGACCGGCTCTGATACCAAAATGACACACCCTAACCCGGCCGGGTACTACTTTTACTAAAATACCATTGTAAAAATAAAATGACCAAATCTTAAATTGCAACTGGGAAAATTTTTAATAAATAAAATACTGAAAACACACTCTTGTAGTTCAAGGCAAAGCCCTAACACGTGGGCAAATTAAGCTCAAACTTTAAATCTCAATCTGATCTCAAAATAATCTCCAGTCTGTACTCAGAATCATAAATGTAAATAACTAATAATCTCTGAAGTTGTTGCTACTGAAATCTTTGACTAAGCATCCTCCGTGACGCTTATACTGCTCTCCTCTAGCTGGTTGCCCTCGAAATCGCTGCTCAATAACTGCTCCTCTAGCTCCTCAAACTGGTGAGCGACATGGGGTCAGTCTACGCCCTTACGCTCTAATAATTCTAATACTTGAGTACTTTACTTAAACACTTAACTTTGGCTAGTGGAATTTGTTTGTACTTCCAATCTCAAAATCTTAACTCTTAAACTCTAGTGGAGTTGAAGTTACTCTCTCCTCTCTTAAAGCTCAAATCTTGACTTAAAAATTTGACTGACACTGGGATCCCTCACTAGCTAGTCCGGTTGCCAACTCATAAGTATGAGAAGCCATCAAGGCTTTCCTTAAACTTAAACTTAGTTAAGGAAGTCATAACGATTCATCCCCCTAACATCTTAAACTTATCGTGGTGGCTCTTCACCACGATTCTCAAGAGCATAACTGCTGCTCAACTTAAATATCTCAAGAGCATAACTATTGCTCTGTCTCAAAGATCTCCAGAGCATAACTGCTGCTCTATCTGAAAATCTCAAATGGCAACAGACTGGCGCTAGTGACTAAAAACACTTAAAACGACTTCACCTTTTTTAAGGTGAGTTACTTCTTAAAAGAACTTGTTTCTTACTCTTTAATAATAACTTATACTCGTAAAAATTTCAAAGTAATTAATAAATATTCACTTCAAGCATAGTCAAACAAAATCACCTCAAATAGCACAAATCACCTCAAACCATAACTCAAGCAAAGCACAAATAATCAATCATACACATAACACCGTAACGATAACCAATTCGCTAAATTACTTAAAATCATAAAACTTAAAAAAATACGTAAGGCGTAGAATTTACCCCCTTTACATTCACCTCGCTTCATGGTCGGATAATTCGATGGATCTGAACTCTTTTCAACGATGCTTGTTCATCTTCGCTTGTATACTCGGTAACTCGTAATATCCAATTTCACCAAAAGCAACTTCTCACAGGTACCATGTATTCTTGCATCACAGTCTACTCACAACCATACCTTGTTGACTAACTTCCAAGCCAAATCAGCAAAGGAAGTGAACAAACTCAAAACGTCAATAGTCAACTCACCCTCTTTACCTTTCAGCTCCGAACAGGACCAAAATCAGCCATCACACCCAAGCTCAATCCTAGCAACAGAAATCTATGACCAAATTAATTCCCCGCCGCACAACTCTTCCCCGTCTCGGCTTCCAAAACAATGACAAGAGAGCTTGGTCGAGAGTATCATGCAGGTAATCAAACAAAATCCCTTCTTTCATGAATCCCCTTTTCCCAAACGTAGTGCGCCAACCCTTTCTTTCTAAATCCCCAAACGAAGAGCACCTTTGATTTATATCCCTGACGAGCTCCCAAATGCTCCCACCCGTCGCCTTTTCTCTTCCTTCTACAACGAGCTATTGAGCTCTCTGACCTCCAAGAGCTGCCTAGAAGCATCCTCAAATCACCAACAATCGCCTTTGTAGCGTCCCAAATCAGCTCTGCAAATTGATTTTGCCAAACCTCATGAAATTAAGACGGCGACCCGGCGGTTTTTGGTTTGGGAAGAAATTGGGGCGAGGGTTTTACAACAGTGAGTACGAGGCAAGTCACCATATCTCTGAAGCCGAAGAATCTCCAGCCAGCAATGGCGGTGGCGGTTGGGAAGAGGGTTCTCGATTCTGGGTGGATAGCGGCTAGATCGACGGAGGTCAAGGTCACCGGGATTCAGCTCACTACCACTAACCCTCCTTCCGTCGGACCCAAGTCGCCATGGATGGAAGCTGTTGTCCCCAGAAGTGTTTTGGCAACCCTTGTAAAGAACAAAGTAGTTCCTGATCCCTTTTTGTTTCGCCAAGCTGCTTGCCTTCGCTCCATTGGTGCTAAGGGAAGAATTAATGGTAGGCAATTTGTAGGGGCGGTGATGAATTTTTTTGAGCAGGAGGTCGGGCCCTTTGCTTGGTGACGGTGGTTTTTTTTATTTGAGGACGTGGGCAACTGTTGAGGCGGTGCTCCTCTAGGTCTAGTTTTAGGTTTAAATATATATATTAATATTAATTAGTAATAAATAATATAATATATTATTATTACTAATTCCCGGTTGCAACCCTTCGTACGTAACTGTTAACCCAACCGTTCCCGTATTTTGGGTCGAACCTGAACCCAAAGTCGGGGTGTTACAAAAGGAATACTCAAGAGTTGTTCAAAGTTTCTCATCAAGCCAATGATCATGGAAGGAAATTTAGAAGATTCATCTTTGAAGAAAGATTCCCCAAGGAAAGCGTTCGAAATATTAAGAGAAAACTAGCTCCTATATTCGAAGATGAAGAATCCGGGGAATGCTATAAGCCATTCACGGATGAGGATATTTATACAAAGGAGTTTAGTTCTTTCAATCATAAGCACCAATCTCCGGATATGTCTTTTGAATCTCAAAAACTGGATGAGGCATCCGAGAGAATCCATAGTCTTCACTTGGGACTCCACCACAAGTATGATTTCTACGAAGAATCAACAGTGGAGAATGGAGCTCTTACCTCTTGGTCTCAAGGAGTCAAGTCTGGCAAAAATACTTTAAAAGACGTGCTAGTTACGAGGCAACCCTACAGCTTGGTTTGCTTATCTTTTCCTTTGTTTTTTTAATAATTGCTCAAGCAGAGGATTAGAATTGCGTAGATGAAGATTGATAGGACTTTACCCTTGCCTTTCCTCGTCTTGTCTTTGGATGTTTGATTGATTTAGATGAATGATTAAGATTAAGAATTGGATGAAAACTTTATATTTGTATTCAAGGTTCAGATCCCGGTTGTCACTCCAGAGATCACGGTCGCGATCTCGTAGCAACAACCCACAATATTATCCATGTTTATTTAAAGGGAAAGCTTCGCATTGCATCCATGTGTAGTCTCTCCATCTCATCTTTCATATCAAAATGCCATGTTTCACCACCTCTCTTAGCTTTGTGAGCATACATTCTCTACTTCACTTTCCAACATCTTTTGAGAAGTATTTTTTTTATTATTTTTGAATTTCAACATGTCTCTTAGAAAGATAAGGTACACTTTTTCATTTCTCCATATTTTAATTACCTTGTTTTGCTAACCATGTGTTGAATGCTTTGAGGACTTGAAATGCTCCTCTTCATCTTGGCATTACTTTTTGATGCCCTAGGATTGTTTTCTTTGCTTTAATGTGCATGCTATGCATTTTGGGAGACCTTGGTTGGCTATTTCCATTCATTTCTTGAGTTCTCAAAGACCGCCCACCAAGTATTTGAAGAAAGTCTCCCCAATTACATAGTTCCTATTTTCTTCAGTCCTACTCATTTAGCATCAACTTCCAAGCACTTGTTAACTCTTGTTTACTTGATTGTGTATTGTTTGGGGAGAATCTAACATATTTCTTTGACATTGAACTACATCTTCATCTAAGTACTCTCTTTTGTGCATGCCTTAGTCTCACTCAAGTGTGGGGGAAGACTTAGAGAGTTGATGAGGGTTCTTTAAATATTCCTTTTTATGGTATGTGATATTTCGATTGGTGGTTTGTTCATTTTGTACTACTTGTTTTGAAGGATAATTTACAAGACTAAGGAAATGGCACATGGAGAGAGTTCTTCTAATATGGAGTGTTCTCGAACCTCTCATCCTCACCAAGGCCATCAGAAGAAGAAAAGTAAATTCAGGTCAATGGAAGTAGCTGTTGAAGAACCACGTCAGCGATCACTCTCTCCCCATCCACCAAGGAAAATCCATCAAGATAAAGAAGCTAATGTTGGAGGCGTCATAGAGTGATGTGATCCTAATCCGAAGAGAACCCTCGAACTTGGATGATATGACCAAAGTACGCAACCTTCCTTCTTTTTAAGGATTTTCGAAGCTTTTCTTGACAACTTGAAAATAAAGGATAGATATGGAACACGATCAAACATATTCCAACTCGTGTGAAAGGCCAATTGGTATATGAAACCAATCAAACAATCACCCACTCGTGAATAAAGCCAATCGCTATTGGGTAGAAGCTCGCCACAACTAGACGCGTTCTCTAGTTGATAAAGGACACGTGAAACTCCTGGAGACTCTCAAGCTTGCACAAACGTTCACAAAGGAACACGAGTAAAAACTCTTAATTGATAACTTGAATGTTGGGTACAAAATTCGTAGCTCTATTTATAGAAGTCTCAAAAACATAAAACTAACCTAAAAGAAATAGGAAAACAAATCCCTAACTAACTAGGAAACATTATACCAATTAAATAAGGACTAAAACCACTAACTAATCTCCTACATAACCAAAATAAATAATTAAAACAAAAACTCCAAAATATGCACTGCTCGCTGCACGCACCTCTTCTCCTGTCCGTAGCGATTACAGATACCTTCTCTTCTACAGGAATTGGATTTCAGCTTTCCATAACAATTGCGGCCTTCTTTCCTTATATCTTTGGGGAACCATAATTGTTTAATTGATAAAATAATTAATCAACAAAACCACATGCCACAGCCATACACGCCCCATGCTGCCATTTTGTCTTCTTTCGATTCCATGCCACACGTTCCATTAAATTTGCCATGCCATTAATTCATCCAAGCAATTTCCATGCCAAATTGATCACGCCACCTTAAGTCCATGCAATGCCACAGCAGCTACGAGCATAATTTGATCCATAAAAAATGCTCCAAATTGATCCTTAAATCGTCGAATCCGAATTTTCATTTTTGGACCACGGGAATTAAATATCGTGCTAATCGATATTACATCATTCCCTCTCTCTTTAAGAAGATTCGACCTCGAATCTTTGCAGAATCTCGATCCTTGATAAGCGCCACTCTTCTTGCTCTTCCAACAAAATTGTATTGTTGAGGATCGTATTATTCCCCCCTTCTTAAGAACAATTCGTCCACGAATTGCATAAACGCTATAACGATGAAAACTCTCCATGTAGCGCTGAATTTTTTGTTGATTCTCCAGGCGGGCTGCCTCTTCTAACATTGCATTACCAATCACAAAATCAATATGAGCAACTTCGGGAACTATTGGTGAATGCTCCATAATTTCCAATCATTTATCTCCGCCTTTAAATTCTGATTCCTCAATGTATTGTTTAACTTCTTGCGCACTCAAATCTGGAACATCAACAAGAATATCTTCTTTCACCTCCTTTGCCTCTTCTAATTCTTCTACTTCACTTTCTAGTTCTTTTTGAGCTGAAATCAAAGCTTGTGAATCCTCTTCACAAGTGACTATAGTAAGTCCATCAACAAGAACCTCTTCTTTCTCTTCCAGGTCTTCTTCAACTTCTACCTTAACTTCCGCGCCATGGATTAAGCTTGAAGAAGAATCTTGCTTATTAATATCAATGGATCGTGCACTTGCAGCCTCTTGCTCTTTCTTATTTTTCTCTTCTTCCATTAGCTCCTTTACTTTAGCTAAGCGTCCCATTATCTCTTCGTGAAGAGATTTCCAATCACTTGAAAGTTGTAATGTGCTCTCTGGAGATATTGTAGGTGCCGGATCTTCCTTCTTATGATAAGTGGTTTGCCCGCTTGACTTGATCTCATGTGAAGGAAAAGATCTCCTAGAGTAATCGTCAGAAATCTTGAAACTTTAGTGACGACTTTGGAGAGTAGTTTGAGGATATCTATCATCATGTACAAATCTCTTTCTCATGATCCGCTTCAATGTTTTCCATGAATGTACTTCTCCACTGCCATCACGCCTCCAAGATGAACACAATCGAATCCACCATTTACGAGCATAATCAGTGAATGTCATAGAAGCGATTTGCACCTTTTTCCAATCTGCATAGTAATAATATGTAAACAAGTCGTCCATCTCCTCCTCCCAATCAAGATAGGCTTCTGGATTTCTTTCCCCGTGAAACAAATGTAGAGCTTCTCACCTTCTCTGTTGATCTCCATCATATCTTTATATATGTTGACTTCAAAGAGCTAACAAGAGTCACAAACACACAAACCCATATTTTTTTTTCCACAACGATCAGCTTTGTGGCTGATTAACTTTCTTTATTTTTTCTTTTTAAAATTTTTTTCTTCTTCTTTTTTTCCTTCACGTGAACAGTAAAACCGAAAAGAATAATACAATCACAAAAAAATTTGTTTTTTTTTTTTTGCTTTTCTTGAAAAAAAAACAAGTACTAAAAGTAAAGGATATTCGTATAACACACCTTCGCCGCTGAGTTTGAACCGGGCTCTGATACCACTTGATGTGATCCAAATCCGAAGAGAACCCTCGAACTTGGATGATATGACCAAAGTACGCAGCCTTCCTTCTTTTTAAGGATTTTCGAAACTTTTCTTGACAACTTGAAAATAAAGGATAGATATGGAACACGATCAAACAGATTCCAACTCGTGTGAAAGGCCAATTGGTATATGAAACCAATCAAACAATCACCCACTCATGAATAAGGCCAATCGCTATTGGGTGGAAGCTCGCCACAACTAGACGCGTTCTCTAGTTGATAAGAGGCACGTGAAACTCCTGGAGACTCTCAACAGAAGCTTGCACAAACGTTCACAAAGGAACACGAGTAAAAACTCTTAATTGTTAACTTGAATGTTGGGTACAAAATTCGTAGCTCTTACACCCTCTATTTATAGAGGTCTCAAAAACATAAAACTAACCTAAAAGAAATAGGAAAACAAATCTCAAACTAACTAGGAAACATTATACCAATTAAATACGGACTAAAACTACTAACTAATCTCCTACCTAACCAAAATAAATAATTAAAACAAAAACTCCAAAATATGCACTGCTGGCTGCACGCACCTCTTCTCCTGTCCGTAGCGGTTGCGGATACCTTCTCTTCTGCGGAATTGGATTTCAGCTTTCCATAACAATTGCGGCCTTCTTTCCTTAAATCTTTGGGGAACCATAATTGTTTAATTGATAAAATAATTAATCAACAAAACCACATGCCACATCCATACACGCCCCATGCTGCCATTTTGTCTTCTTTCGATTCCATGCCACACGTTCCATTAAATTTGCCATGCCAATAATTCATCCAAGCAACTTCCATGCCAAATTGATCACGCCACCTTAAGTCCATGCAATGCCACAGCAGCTACGAGCATAATTTGATCCATAAAAAATGCTCCCAATTGATCCTTAAATCGTCGAATCCGAATTTTTATTTTTGGATCACGGGAATTAAATATCGTGCTAATCGATATTACATCATAGAGCACATTACTCACTATTATTTGGACAATGTCCCCGAGCAATTTAAGACCAAACTTTTGTGGCGTCAATGACTTCCTCTAGGCATGAGTACATGTCTCAACTAGATACTCTTCACATAGCTTGGGATCGAGGATGCGATCCGATCCAAGGTTCAAAAGTTGGAGTGGCTTAAATTGTTATCCATTCGAGAAAACATCTACCGGGTAATTGTTCTGGAGTTCATTAGCACTATTACCATTCAAGATGTGAGATGTGTCGCCTAACTTGAAGACAACATCCAATTCCAACTAGGAGCAGAGCACCACCAACTGTCAATCTGGGAATTTACAAAGGCCATGGATATTTACTCGGCGAATTTCAATGACTCACCGGACGCGTTTTCCACCATAACTTGGGAATCCGACTTCTCATGTTTCAAGTCCTTCTATGAATCTAAAGTTGAGAAATTCAACAGTCGACCGTAGGATGTCAAGCTATCAAAGGCTATTGAGGTGAAACCGGGGTGGCGGCTCATCCACCATGTGATTGCTGGATCCGTGGGTGGAAAGAACCGAAGAAAATGCAACTTGACCGCCTTAGACGTCACTTTCTTCCAAAGCATGCACATACCTCATTCTATTCACCTTGGTTTGGCCATCTTGTCCATCTTCAAGTGTTATGAAACAGATCATTGACTAACTTCCCTTCATGAAACAGATCTTGCTAAGTATTTCCAAGTCGACTTTGGGGCCATGCAATTTCGTTTGCATAGTAGGACTACTCTTATATCCTTTGACGTCTTGAATTCGAGAATCAACCCGTTTCACATTAATGAAGATGGCATTTGGGGAGTACAGAGACTTCCATTTCCAACTACTAACACATTGGACATGGAGGGTACCGTGTTCTGCCTTCCGGAAGCTACGGCAGTAAGAGGACGAAGAGGACTAGTCAAAGAGGAAAGTGGGAAGCATGTACGAGGGAGGAGAGGCGCCTACATCCACTTCTCATCTGGTTCCCCCACCATTCAACAATGCAAGGGATTACCGAGTCGAAGCGATGATAGCGTAAATCCTTTACAATCAAGGAGGGAGAAGGAAGCGTGACTCCACATCATGGTGTGCATACATGCTATAATGAAGAAGATGGATATTTCGATTGAAGATGTATCGCTGCAACTTGGTCGCTCCCCTCCCCTTTCACCATTTCAAGAAGAAGAAGAAGGACCATCCGAGGAGGATTGAGTACTAGGCATCCAGGGCCTAAGTCACTGGCGGACCCAGAATTATCGGAGAGGTGTGTCACAGATAAAATAAGATATTAATTAAAAAATTAATAAAAATTAATTAAAAACTACTAGAAATTAATTCATAAAGTTTACAATGTCATGTTTACAACGAACCACAACGACTTTTCATTTTCTGAAATGTATGGAAAATACATTCATTGCTTATGTTGCGAAGCAAATCCTTTTCGATATACACAACTAAACAATGATTCATAAATTGGTCACTCAACTGATTTCGAAGTTCATTCTTGATTATCTTCATAGCTTAAATCTTTCGCAACTTTCAACTGCAACAGGTAAATTTAACACCAACTTCCAAAAGCAAATAAAACTAAAGGAGAAAAGAAAAGAGAGATGTGGTAGTGTGATGAGGTCATCAAAGCCAAAGCCACTCAAGTTGAAGGGCCAATGACTCGAGCTAGGGCTAAGGCTTTTCGGGATCAAATTGCAAGCTATTTGGCTAAGGAGTTGGAGGGCTTAAGCTTGGATTTGCTAGAAGGAAAGTCCATTACACTATTGAGCTATGTGGATCACGAAATTGGGCTCAAAGGGAGGGAAGGAGGGTGGGCCATGGAGAAGGAGTCTCAAGGTGTGAATGGAATCAACAATGGATAAAGAGCATGGTGTGAACACAATGTGTGAAAGGAATTTCAAGTGTGAACACAAGGGGGGCGGATTTGAAGGCTAGATTCAAGGGTAGTTGTTGACTTAGTCTTTTCCTTGTTTGTTAAGGTTTTTGTTTTCCTTGTTTGTTAAGGTTTTTGTTTTCCTTTTTCAAGTAGGATTTGGTTTTCCTTAGTTGTTTTGTGTTTAGATTCGTGGGTCTATAAATAGGAGTCCAACCAATGTATTTTTCATTCAAGTTTCAGCAATCAAATACAAGTGTTTACAAGTTCAAGTGAACGTTTTGCTTATTCGCTCCATTGAGGATTCGGGAGGTTTGAGTGGTCTCTTATCAACTAGAGAACGCGTCTAGTTGTGGCGAGCATCGACGATATCGATTGGCCTCTTCCACGGGTTCGGGATTGTTTGGAAGGTTTCATATACCTTCTGGCCCTTCTCATGAGTTCGGATTTGTTTGATCGATTCCGCAAGTTTCTTTATTTTCGTGTTATTCAAGAAAGGAGAAAACCCCTAAAAAGTTCGACGTGTGCAACTCTGATTTTTGGTCCGATTTGGGAGGATTCTCGAATTAGGATCATATCAAATGGTATCAAGAGCCCGGTTCAAACGCAGCGGAGAAGACAAAGATTCTTGGTAGTTCGGGAAGCATTCTTGGAAATCTTGAACGTTAAGAAAGCAAATCTTGAACGCTCTTGAGAGTTTCTTGTGTGGCAAGGAAGGTATCTTGAAGACAAAGCATTCGTGGGGTTCTTCTTTAGCAAGAAACCATGGCAGAACAAGCACAAGATGTGGCGACACAACTTCAGCAACTCGCTGCACAACTAGCTACGGTACTTCAAGAACAAAGGGAGAAAAGGGCACAAGTCGAGGCATTGCAAAGACGTGATCAAGAGCTGCCTCAACAACGAGAACAAGAGCCACCCCAAGGCGAGTTTGAAAACCCTAACAATAGGGAACGACGAGAAGAAAGGAGAGTTATTCGAGCTGTTCAACGTCCAATGTTTGAGAATGTTCGTCGACATAGGCCATTGGGAGGGCATCGTGGTGCAAGGAGAGACTTCCCCTTCTATGACGAGGAAGGGTATGAAGAATACGAGCATGATGGAGGTGCTTACCGAGATGATGATGATCTAAGAGGATTGAAGATAACCGTACCATCTTTCAAAGGGACAATTGATCCAGAAGCTTATCTCGATTGGGAACGCAAGATGGAGCTAATTTTTGATAATCAAAACTAATCAGAGAAGAGGAAGGTGGCATTGGCTACCATTGAGTTTACGGATTATTCCCTAGCATGGTGGGATCAATTGAGTACGAAGAGAAGAAGAGATAGGCGCAGGCCTATTGAAACATGGGATGAGTTGAAGGCAATCATGAAGAGATAGGCGCAGGCCTATTGCACCAAGCATTACAACTTCTTCGACAAGGCAACAAGAGTGTTGAGGATTACTATCGAGAGATGGAGTTGTTAATGATTCGAGCTGATGTTCGTGAAGATAGGGAAGCTACCATAGCTCGATTTCTACATGGTCTTAATCGAGAGATTCGTAATGTCGTGGAAATTCAACAATTTGTGGAGGTAGAAGACTTGGTGGCTATTTGCAGCAAGGTGGAAAGGCAACAGAAGAATAGAAGGTTTCTACCCTCTACAAGTACTACAAGGCCTACACCAGCACCTACAACAAACCCTAGGCCGAGTGTTCCTACGAGAGAAGCACCAAAACTCGGGCCAAAGGTGGAGACTCCAAACCCTAGCACCAAACAGGGTTCATCTTCCGGTGGAATTCAATGTTTCAAGTGCCATGGACGAGGGCATATGGCAAACCAATGCCCAAACAAAAGAGCATTGATCTTATTGGAGAATGGTGAATATGTGTCCGATGGAGAGGAGGAGGAAGCACTAGAAGAGAAGGGTACATCAGATTCTGAGGTAGATGAGGCCCTTGAGATGGAGACACCCCCAGGCAGATTATGTGTAGCTCGAAGGGTATTGAGCATCCAACCAAAGGAGGAGCTTGAGCAACTGGAGAACCTCTTCCATACGAGGTGTGTAGTGGATGGGAAGACCCTTTCGGTTGTGATTGATGGAGGGAGCTTCACCAATGTGGTTAGTGCTAGTTGTGTGAAGAAGTTGGGGTTGAAAACAACGATTCATCCAAAACCCTACACTCTTCAATGGCTCAATGAAGATGGGTCAATCAAAGTGGCTAAACAAGCCTTATTGAAGTTCTCCATTGACAAATACAAGGATGAAGTAACATGTGATGTGGTGCCAATGCAAGCGGCTCATGTTCTCTTTGGGAGGCCGTGGCAGTTTGATCGAAGTGCTCAACATGACGGCGTCACCAACAAATACACGTTAAAGCACCAAGGTAAGAAGATAGTATTGAAGCCTCTATCTCCTAGAGAAGTGTATGAAGATCAATTACAAATGCAACAAATTCGAGAGGAAGAGAAGAAGGCTCAATCCGCAAGGGGTGCAAAGAAGG